GTCGTGTGATGACTGTGTGACATCCTTTCTTTCCCTCTGCCTTGCATCATCCTCTGTTGCTGTGTGGAGTCTTGAAGAGCTCATAGGCCTGATTGGCCTTTTTCAGTCCATCTGGAGAAGTCATCAGTGTGCAGATGCTTATAAGAGGCTGTTAGAACAAAGTAAGCTTGAGCTGTTCTCAGTGTTGAATCAAAGCACAGGAAGTCTCTGAAAGACCTTGAAAATGAGGGGTTGGGGCAGAACCCCTTGGATCCTGCTGCTGCTACCTTCTCAAGGCCTGGCTGGCTCATGCCTTGTTGGGGCACATCTAGGCGTCCCTCTCCTTTGTGTGAGCTCAAAGGGATGAGCGCTTAAGTTTGTTTTTGCAAAACTAGCTATAGGCCACAGTCGAGATTACCATATACCACTTTCTAAACTGTTTCTCCTGTTTGCCGTGCCATCCAGTGACTGTACGCTCTCCTTCCCCAAAAGATGTGTAAAGCCTTGAAGCCCTACAGTCAAATAGGGTTGCACGAAGCTGCTTATGGCAGAGACAGGTGAGGAGAACTCACTGAAAAAAAGATGCCTATCTTGTGTCTGGGTTTTTGTAAGCTTGAGGCTTCGTGAGGTCAGGGCCTCAAACAAAGCTACAGCAACATGAGAAAGCTGAAGTTTGCAGCATTTGTATTTAGAATACCGCAGCCAAGTTCTGTCAGCTACTCTGTGCTCTTCAAGGGGTCATCTGTAGGTGTCAGAGAAGATCTCAAGACAATAATAGTGCTCTATTTTAGCATACTCATTACAAAGCATAACTGCCCTCTGCCTCTAGCAAGTATTTTTTCCTCATACTGGAAGGGTGCAGCAGTGGAAGGGCCATCGTCATAAACAGCACGTCGTTAGAGATCGTGCATCGCTAATTCCTTCGTTGTCTTTTCAAGTGAGACCTTTTTCTTTCTCCATGGACTCTCATAAGGAAAACAAACTTCAGCGAAAAAGATAGTTTGCAGTGGTGTGCTGCAATTATTGGTGTATTCATCTTGAAGAAAAAGCAATCAAACTAGTAGGCTTTTTATGCTGACAGGGAGCTGTGCTAGGAGATTGATGCCTTTTCATGAAGGGAGCCATGGATTTGAAAGGAGATGAAATGCTGTTTACAAATCACGACAGAAGTAACATCTTGCCTTTGTTAGTATAGAGTTGGAGTGGGCTAGCGGGTTCCTGTCTTCCTCCTGATTTCTTTTAGCTTCTGTAACTAATGGGCCTGTAATGAGACAGTATAGTTACTGCTGTGTGTCTGAATAGAAAGGACAAGAGGATCTGCTGAATTTCTTCCTGGGCCAGTGCAGAAGGGAGGATGCTTTGAGTATGTGGCCCTTAAAAGGGCTACGGTGTGGGCAAAAGTCTTTGTAGCAGCTGGTCCCCCTGTCACAGGCTGCCAAGTGCTGAATGGCAGCCGAAGAGGTCCTCAAAAGTAGGATAACACAGGGTTATTGTTTAAACCATGTGGTTGCAAGGTCCTTTCGTGAAAGGAGTTGGCCTTTTTCGGCTCCAGCTGCTGAAGAAGGCAGAACCTTTTTAACACGTTATTCAGAATTGTTCTCGAGTGTTTCTCTTTGTTTGACTATACCTCGGCTATGCTGGTTTTAATTTTACCTCTTGTGTGTGATGTGCTTTTTATTTTCTGCTGTTTCCTGAAGAAGCAATGGTTCTTTGATGCATTTTTATGCAACGCCAAAGCTGGCTTAATAAAAATATTAAGAGATACGTCTTCATTCGTATTACGTTGTGTCCTATATACGTATTATCCATTCCCAGTTACAGATTGCTCCTGGACTCAGTAGGAGCAAGACCCACCTGTGTTCCCATTGCCTTTGACCAGTTTGGGTTATTTTCTGGCATTCCCTTTGTCTGCATACAATCTTCAGTATATCTTATACTCGCAGTTATTGTGAGGTAAAGACTATACGCTATCTTATACTCGCAGTTATTGTGAGGTGTCTCTCCGTTGTTTCTTGTAGATGTGCACAATAAATATTTAACAATGAGGGATAGCCATTCTTCTCATAATCAATATAACCTACACCTTAACAATTCAAAAGTGCAATATGCTTCTGTTCTGCAACAGCTGAGGATTAAGTAAAATTTCTCCTTCCTGTTGTTAACATGCCCAACATAAGACTTTATAAAGCAGAGGCTGCTGAGGGTATGTCGGGTATAAACGTTGGAAGGAGTCATGATACCACTAAAGCCTATAAGTTCTAGAAACATCAGCAGTAATTTGATCAATGTAACATTCCAGTATAGTCGTGCAGGTGTGCTGCTGGGAAGTATTCTTCAAGGTATAAAGCTACAGTATTTGAGATTCAGGCACTCTGAACTCTTTAGAGAGGAACCACATTACTATTTTGGTAAATACTCCTTGGAACAACATAGCTCATCATGAAGAAACGTTTGTTTTGTTTTTTTGTTTTTACTCTAATCTTTTATATATTCAGTAACTTCAGTCACTCCAGCTGTACTCTGCATTGCTTAACAGCATCCTGTATCTCTAACCTGATGCAGTAGCAGCCATAACCTAGACACTAGCGCTTCACTGCAGTAGAGGTTGGAGAGGTTTGAGATGATGCTGTCAAGGGGAAGCACTCTTTTGGAGTTACAGAATTTTAATTCTGGGATGAGAGCTGCACAGATTTCTAGGAAAACAAAGCCTTTGCTGCTCTAAAATTTTTCTGCTAATCTAATTCTGTGCGGTTACCTCTCATTGCATCAGTCAGTGCTATTTGGTGCAGGGCTGCGTATGGGTTCTGAAACTGCTGTATGTAAATGTAGCGTGGGAATAATCGCTCAGCTTCGTTCTCCTGCTCTTTCTCTGTTAACGCATATCAGCAGTAACGACAGCTCTGTAGAGTGGCAGAATCATGTCCTTATGTCTGCGCAACCCCGAATGCATGCGCATCATCCTGACAGAAAGACGAGCCTGCTGTTATGATGCTCCGCAGCATGCACGGTCCTCGGTGCTCCCTCTGTGCAGATACACAGTGTTATTGGCAAAAGTGAATACAAGTCAGAGGAGAAGTCGCAGAAGGGTTTTGATTTGGTTCCCTGACCCAGATTTCCCATAACTTTCAGCTGGGATTCCACAGTGCACTACAGGAAGAGTCTCAAAGCACAGAGTTCAGCAGCTGATATTTTCTTAGAGTACTGAGCAATTAATTTGGGCAAGCGTGGAGTTGTATGCATGCAGTAATTAACAAGGAAAGCACCTTAGGCCAGCATAACAAGGTGGTGTGGGTGTCCTTCATTTTGAGATTGTTCCTTCTAATTGCAGCAATTTACTTGACTTGATCAATGTAACATCCCTGCGTAGTCATGTAAGCGTGCCATGAGGCAGGTATTCTTAAAAATAGGTTAAATGAACTGGGCTCTGCCCGAAGTACCTGCCCTAGGGCACCATATTTAAATAAGAATGTGGAGTCCTGTGTAAACTGTCAGCAGTAATCCTTTTACAGGGCTGACTAAATTCTGAAGCTCTGACATGTAGACTGTTCTCTTCCTTATATAGGGCTGTCTTCTGGTGGATAAGTGCTGGGCAGTAACGAGGTTGGAATAAAAGGCTTTGGTAACAAAGTATGAACTGGCAGTCCCGACTGAATCTTAAACTTATCCTGAATACACATGTACTTCAAAGGATACGGGCCTTGGTCCCGCTCGCTGAAGTAGCACTTGGTGCATCTGTTTCAGAGCCGAGCCTTGTGAACAGCATTTGGTCGTTTTGTGCTGCAGAATCACCTGGACAGAAACCCCTATACTCTTTAGTGTTGCCTTTATTGAGCTTGGTCTATATGGGAAGAATCTAGCAGTTTCGCATGTCAAAATATTGCCAGTGGAGGTCAGTGTGAAGGTCCTTATTCCAGAGTGGCTAGCTTTGTTTGTGCTTCATTGGAAGAAGTTTAAGCTATATTGAGAGAAGCCATTCTGTTCTAGAACAGGATATTCCATATAGGATATTGCATTAATATAATTTTACTTGTTTTAATGCACAGAGTAGCATATACTAATATAACTTCCGTTGTACAGACAAGATTACTTACCGTTCTGCTTAAAAATGTCTGCTGAAGTACTGTCTTAGGGGGTCAGATATGTTCAGGGAAACACGTCATCTCTGCTGCCTTGTCTATCCTTGATATGCATCTCTACGGCCACAACTTCAGTGCTAGTGAACATGCTGGAAGTGCGCTGAGTCCAACTGACAAGTGCTAGTGCTAGGTCTCAGCCTAAAAGATTGATGTTGGTAAGACACAACTGGGGATCAGGAGAAAAGCGAAGGAGCATTTGATTATTGTTATTTTTAACTTTCTTGTTTATTCTCTTAGAAATGGCAGGGATGAAGTCTGGAGAAAAAAAAAAAGAGAAGATTTGAATGAGAGGGCGCTGGGGGTTGATACATTGGGCTTCATGAGCCCCTCATTAAGAGGGCTTCTTACAAAACGGCAGTAGAAATATGAATATAGAAGGAAAAATGAGTTGTTTTGTACTGTTCGGGCCTACCGGTCACTTAAGCAGTTATTTGATCTGCTATCTGTTTTCTTTTAAAGACATAGAGGTTGGAGGTGGGTGCAGGTAAGGAGATGAGGAGGAAATGAGTGGGGATTTTGGTTTGGTCCAGGTGCACCTGAGCTATTTCTCATAAAGCAGTACAAGTCAGAATGGGTGAACATGGATCGACTTAGAAATTGGTTTTTTTGGATAATGACTCATTGCAACTTACCCAAAGTGACCTGATTTAGTTAAATGAGGCTAAATATAACCCATGTGAAAAGGACTGACATGTGGGAGGAGACGACAGCAGTTGGCTCTCAGCCTCTGTTCTGCAGGGAACATCTTTCACGACTGGTGACTAATAATTTTTACTCCTGCTGCCTTTGGAAATAACATCTCTGCTCCCTTACCCCTTTCCAGGGAGACGAAGAAAATGTGCTGTTCCTAATCTGTTGCCTCTTATCTGCCTTTCTGAATTTCAGCTTACTGCTATGGACAGTGCTATCACCCTGTGGCAGTTCCTCCTCCAACTCCTCCAAGAGCCTCAGAACAAGAATATCATCTGTTGGACCTCCAACGACGGGGAGTTCAAACTGCTGCAGGCAGAGGAGGTGGCCAGACTCTGGGGAATCCGCAAGAACAAGCCCAGTATGAACTATGATAAACTCAGCCGTGCTCTCAGATATTATTATGTGAAGGTAACAAAGCCCATAAATCCACCTCCAATCCTTATCCCTCTTACCAGCTTCTGCCTAATGAGCTTTGTTTCCTTTTTCATTCTCTTCAAGGGGATAGGTGCCACTTCTGTCTCCCAGGTTTAAGTGAGGTGTGCTAGTTTTTGTTTAAGGGTTTTTTTCTTCCATTTGTGCTCCTGCCTTGTTCCTCCCCAGTGATAGTTTTATAAGGGTCTAGATAGCTTTCTGCAAAATGGTATCTCTTTTCATTTGTCTTTGCTAATAGGAGTCTTTCTGTGAATAATAATCTCCTTCCTGAGCCCTCCCCAAGTGTGTGTGTCCTTCAAGGGTTAAAATCCTGAACACTCCAGCATAAGTAAGGAAAAAAAAAAAAAAGATAATGATGATCAAGATGGAGAGTATTGCACCATCTTGAGATCTTTTCTATAATTGTCTCTACAAAGGGGCTTTCAAAATATGGATTTGCAATGAGGCAGCCCCAAAATCTTTTTTTTTTCCTCCTTGTATTCAGAACTGCACCTGTAATGTGGAGAGTGGATTCAGTCAAGCTAAGCAAGATACTTCTCTTGTTTAGCTAGTGTTTTCTAACGAGTTGTGCGAGTCTTTCATTATTGTACAGGTAATGTCAAAAAGCTGAACTAGAATTGCAATGTGGGATTGTTACCTTCATTTCAGTAACCTCTCAGTAAGCCGTTTATCCCACAACTGTTATTGTGTGGGTGTGCGAGATAAGAAAATAAAACACAGTTTCTGAGGAAACTGTCAGTTTGTAGCAGGTGGTTTGTTGCTTGGAGTTTATTATTGGGTAGCACCGTTTCTTTAATCTGACTTTGTACTGAGAAGTCTTAGTGATAATAATTGTCCAACAAATAAGAATCGTCTTAGGTTGAAATTGCGTGTCGCATTCCGGTAATGAACAAAATAAATTCAACAGATGCTACTTTGTGGCGTTGAAACTGCTGATTAGCCTACATTCCGCTGACTAGTTCAACTACTTATTTTCTTTTATTGTCATTTTATTAAGAATTAAAGGGTGGCGTGATTTGATGTATTAGGCCTCAGTTCTGCAAACCTGTAAGCCTTAATTCTGCAGGTTCTCTTGTGTTTAGATTAGATTATATTTATTGTACCCAGATCAGTGATTATGACTTTGATGGGGCTAATGGGGTATCTTTTGTTTCCTGTATGATCTTTTAAAATATTTTAAACAGAATTGCTCTGCAGCTTTAAGACTATTGTTAGTGCGTTTAAGGTCAGGTTAAACTCACTTGCTTTAGTGTTCTGTCTGAGAGCTCTGGAAATGATACTCTGGGAGCATAACGAAATTGCAAGAATCCAGTGTATAAAAAAAAAATAATAATTATAAAAAAAAGTTTTTGATGAAAGGATACAGGCTATCTAGAGTATCTGATTCCTCAGTCTATTTTAGGCAATGTTTGTAGCAAGACAATTAGTCTGCCAAAGGGCTAAAAATGATATATCTTCTTACCCACAGAATATCATTAAAAAAGTGAATGGTAAGAAGTTTGTGTACAAGTTTGTTTCCTATCCGGAGATTTTAAATATGGATCCACTCGTGGTGGGCCGTATAGAAGGAGACCCTGAAATGGCTGGTTTTGCAGAAGTTAGCAGTGCTCCAAAGGACGTGGAAAACTGTGGGAAGGAGAAGTCTCAGTCGTGTGGTAAATCCTCCAGCCGCAATGACTATATCCACTCAGGCTTGTACTCCTCTTTTACTCTGAACTCCCTGAACTCTTCCAGTGTAAAACTCTTCAGGTCCATCAAGATTGAGAATCCAGCTGAGAAACTGACAGAGAAGAAACCCGCTCAGGATCCGACACCATCTGTCATCAAGTTTGTAACCATGCCCTCCAAAAAGCCTTCATCTGTCCCCCTGGTCTCCGCCACTTCAACGGTCTCTGCCACTTCAACTGCTTCTGCCATTTCAACTGCATCCTCTCTTCCAGTAGCATCAGAAGACACTCTCCAGACCTTGGAGACTCTTGTTTTACCCAAATTAACTGCCCCTGAAGCTCCAGCACCTTTGCCAAACTTAACCACCAGCTTCACCCCAACTCCACCTGTATCCTCGATTTCTCCTACTCTCCAAGTTCCTTCTACACCTCCTTCGCCACCCTTGAGCTCTAATCCTGACCTGGACATTGACACGGACATAGAGTCAGTGGCTTCTCAGCAGCTGGAGCAGGCTCAGAGCCTTCAGCATCAATCCCCAGAGCCCAAAGAGCAGGATTCATCTGTGCTGGAGAAGGAATTTGCCAATCACCTCTCCAGATCTAAAAAACCCAAAGGGCTAGAGTTGGCTCCCACTCTGGTCATTACAGGCAGCGATCCAAGTCCTTTGGGGATACTGAGCCCTTCTCTCCCAACTGCTTCTCTTACTCCAGCACTTTTCTCTCAGGTAACCTAATCCCCTTCCTTAAGCTTCCTTTTTTTATTTATTAACAGCAGTGGTTATCTTTTACAACAGTAAGAGAGGACAAGTGAAAATTTAATAGCCAATATATCATGTTTGGAGTTCTGAAATTCAGGATGTCACTGCTTTTTTTTTTATTTTATTATTTTTTTTTTTTAATAAAACAGAAGGTTTGTTCCAGAAATGTATACTCAATATTAGCTTCCATCCTAAAGCGTGCGCAGTGGCATGTCAGCTATACCTGTCTGTGCAGCGTTAGCGTGTGGAGGCAGAACCCACACCAGCACCGGTAGGATCATTTGTAAATCTTCCCAGGGTGACGGGGAATTTTTTTCAAAAACCCCAAACCCTGTCCATATCTTTCAAGCTGGTTTTGAAAATGATTTAAAAATAAACAGAACCGCTGAGGTATTCATTTAACTGTGTTCTTTTACCTGATTTAGTAGCCATTTGCTTAAGACAGTGTTGTGACTAAAAGTAATGTGAGTGGCTGCATGACTTGGGTGTCATCACTGTGTGGAAAAGGAAAGCTTTCTTTCCTCGTGGAAGATTTGGAAGCGAACGGAATCGAGCTAGGCTGCTACATTGTTCTGTATGTGTTTAATATCTTTCCTTTAATAAGCTGGAGTTGGAAGGCAACTGCAGGGAAACTGCTGATTGAAAACCAAAACTGCTAAAGACGGGGGAAAAAAATCAAATGTAGTTGCTCTTTTGGCACCCTTTAAAGTATTTGGTGAGTGAACCTGGAAAATCTAGTGTTTTCAGAAGTTGGGTATAAATTTCTTTTGTTGTAGCTGACATTCAGTGTCACTCAGGTCACGTGTATGCCCAGGGTCTGCTAATTTTAGACTCGTAGGTTGAGTTTTCCAAAATTATATGCTTACAGGTGTCATACACTGAATTGCACAGGTCTGATTTGCTGTAGGTTACAGCAGGATTTGGCGGCTGGTGGGAAAAGAGGGCCAACTGCTAAGAAAGGGGAGGGAGAGCAGGATGATTGGTGCTGTTGGTTTTGATGGGAAGAGAGGCAGCCTGTTGGAGGAGTTAGGAGGAGGGGGCAATGGGAGTCCCTGAAATTTGGATCCAAACCTACACAGCTGTAGGAGCTAGATTATTGTGGCTGGATTTACATATGCTATGTATTACTCTCAGTGCAGGTTTAACTCATAGCTGGCTGACTTTGTATGTTTTGCAGACTCCCATCTTGCTGACCCCCAGCCCCTTGCTCTCCAGTATTCACTTCTGGAGTACGCTAAGTCCGGTTGCTCCTCTCAGTCCTGCAAGGTTGCAAGGTGCTAATACGCTCTTTCAGGTAAGCTCCGACAAGTTTAGCCGGTCTTTGCCACTGAGCCACGCTTGTCAGTACCTTTCTCAGAAGAACTGTAATCATCAGTTAGCCCAAAAATCTGATGGCAAATTTAGGCCAGTAATATTTGCTGTGTAGTACATTGAGGCGGTTATATGGTAAGTATTTCAGGACTTCGTACTTAGGTTACTTAGTTAAATTAAGTTTGAAGTCCTTACTAGTCTTTTGTCTTTGAAAATGTCCTTTAATTCAAGGAATCGTTTTATAGCCAGTATAAAAAAAAAATAGCAGTTTCTGTTTTCTGTCCCTTATGTTAGCTTTTGTGAGCAAGTTTAATTTTAGTGGACATGTACCCTGTTTGGTTTAAGTATATTGTAAATGTCGGTATTTCAGAAATGTTTTAAATTAATGGTAGTCTGTTGTAGTTAGAGATGGAATTTTTTTAGGTCTGTCCTTCCTCCTGTAAAAATTGCCTTCCTGTAGCTTTATTGGTTGAGACTTTACCAGAAATGGAATTTGGTACTCTCTCTTGATTCCTGTAATAGTTTGTTACAGCTTCTTCTGCTGAAATATATTAAATCTCACTGTTAGTAGGAAGGGAGATTTTGCATCAGCGTGGTCTCTGTGGCAATGTGTAGTTCAATTTTTTGTGATCTTAATATTCTGCTGTCTTCTGTTGTCTGGAAGCTCTCAGCTTCACCGTTTCAATACAGATGTTTATTTAACTAATATATTTTAAAAATCCTCAAGTCATAATTGCTGATGCTCTCCCTTCACCTTCCACTTTGGAACAGGAATAACCATATCTGTTGCCTGATTCTGCTTAGACAGAGAATGAAATCTAATGAGATGTCTTTTGTGTTTATATCTGTCATCTCCATGGAGATGAAGGGAGTAGCTTATATGCACAGTCAGAACAGGATTTGAACAAGTTGGTCTGAAAATCCATTGGACCTCTTTCTCCATAAATAGCTGATAATGAATTGAGGAACATTTTAGAACATGGGTTCCCAACAACCTGTATAAAAATCACTGAATTGTGATCCGACTAGTTTAGTGCATAGCCCGTGCTCGGTGCAGAGGTTACAGACTGTTTTCTTCTCTCTGCACAGTTGTACTCACTGTAACAGCTGGATCTGTGCAGTCCATGATGCACTGGCATTTAAAAAATCCATTACTTGAAGGAAGCCAAAGACGTTCTTTGAAAGTGTTCTGGGCTTTGTTGTGGGGGAGCTTCTAGAGACACAGGTATGAGAGGAACAGTAAATTAAAATGGCCTCTTTCTTAATCATTTCTGTTTTGTCTCTTAGTTTCCGTCAGTGCTGAACAGTCACGGGCCGTTTACTCTGTCTGGACTGGATGGACCCTCTACCCCTGGCCCATTTTCCCCTGATCTACAGAAGACATAGCACATGAACTCATGGAAAGGACATATTGGCGAGCAAGGGAAAGATATGACACTTATATTTAACCATGTTTTTTAAATGAGCAATTTATAATTCCACAGAGATTATCAACAGTCATAGTTTTTGCCATTCCCAATTATAATGCCTTTTTTTGCAAAATTCCCTTTTTTGAAGACCCAAATCGGGAATGTATATGCAAACGCCTTAATAGGAGCCAAAGCTCCAGTCTCTTCTCTTCCCTCCTTCGTTGGAAGACTTCACTATGGGTAAAGGGAGTTTCAGTTTATGTTGCAGTAACTGAGTCTGCACTGATTGCTGTAAATGGTATCAGAGAAGTTTTTTCTCTTTGACTCTTGGAAACCTCTGTTCTTCTGCTTCCTGTGCTTGGCAAGAAGAAATCTAATCATGATTGAAGCTGGCATTCCAGGAAACGCTAGGGAAAGGGGTGTGTGCACTCGGCTTTGCCTTGGGGCCTGATAACTTCTGCAGCAACAAAACAGCTCATGTCTTATCTGCTGTAAAAACATCTTGTCTTTTTGCAGGGAAAAATATTCCTCAGTATTCCTGGAGTATTTCAAGGAATACTCAATGACGGTGTTGTTGAGACACAGACAATTTTTGAACGGCATTGTATACAAACAGTCCAGCCTCTCTGGGAAGTGGGCTGGTTAGCTTCTGGATGCTTCCCTGCCCTCCCTTCTGTGAGGAGGCAAGGCCTGGAGACAAATGAATGGGGGGGTTAGTTCCTTTCAGTTCTCAGATCGTTTGAATGCTAAAGTCCAAACATTTCTTTTGCCAGAGACCTGTTACAAAGCCTGTAATTTGACTGCTAGAAAATTAGCAGAATGATGGATTTTACATGAGGTTTGGAGGGTGTGTCTATTTGGTGAGGTTGCTGCCTGATGCTAGAGCTTCAGACCCAAGCAGGGGTGAGAACACTTGACGTCTGAGCATTAACGTTATTGCTCTTTTCCCACAGCTGAGACACTTGAATTGGAAACGTTCCCTTTCTCCCAGCTCTTTTCTCAAGTTTTGCTTTAAATCTCTTGCTTTTTTTTTTCTATTTGAGGAAGAACTGAGACCCAGAAAAGGTTAGGCTTAGTGTGTACAGCTAGTTGAGAGGTGTCACGCTATATTAGCCTTACTGTAAATTTGTGCTTGCTTATTTTTCTTGGTGGCTTTGTGTGTATGGCTTAGTACAAGATTGGTTTCCAGAGCCATTTGAAACACTGGTGAAATGAAATTTGTAGATTTTTAGAACCTCAGGAGTTCTTTTGAGAGAACTGACAAATGAAAGAAAAGAGGTTTCCCTCTCACAGCCCCTCGGAGACTGGATGTCTTGGTGTGTTGGCACTGGGCTTCGTGCCCTTCCACTTTGGGCATCTGCTGTCAGGCAGCAACTTCTCTTTGCTACTCACGTATGTACATTGAGTTGGCGAAGTAAGATAATCTTCTGCATAAACTGTCCGCTAGGAGACAGAGACCATCTCTTTGCTTTGACATCCTCGCTGGCTCTCTTAGGCTGAAGTTTTAATGAGCCGAGAAAGATTGTACCTTTAGAGCAAGAGAAGCGGGTGTTGTACTTTTTACGTAGTGCACCTGTCTTACGGATCAACGGTGAACTATGCTTTGGCAAGTTTTCCCTTTGCCACTTTTGCAGACTCTGAATTCACTTTAATGCGTGTGTATAATACCCTAGACTTAATTTACTGCAGTGACGTTATCTTTCTATATTCTAGCGTTGAAATATACAAACCACTTAGTATGCTTTTGATATAATACCCTGGAGAGTTGGGTGTAATGGTGTTGCTTTTTGGGCATTGTTCATCCAGAAAGTCCCTTGTCCGGTGGGAGGTTGGAGAAAAGAATATGCCTGTCTGTAGGTGAGCTAGCAGGGAGTGAGCTGGTGGAGGGAACTGGGCTTCCCGTTAGGTTACGTCAGAGGCATAATACTGGTGCACACTTTAGACATCAGCAGATAGCGGATAAAGTTCCTGTGCCGGTGGCTCTTAAAATGACAATGTGCAATATTGACTTTTTTTTTTTTTTTAATGCAGAAAGCAAGCTGCAGATCATGATTAAGAGCAGGCATGTGGAATTTTCTGGTTTGCATGATGGTTTGAGTCTGCTCTAGGAAATATATATAGCTATGTATAAATAGCAGCACTTTCAATGGTTGTATTAGGTTGGCCAATTTTATACCCACTGAGTGTGTGGTCCTGACAGCACCATTGCAGACAAGGATTAGAATTAAAAATAACTAATGAGCACTAAAGACTTGCAATTAAAGACTTGCAATTTAATTGCTTCCCCTTCCTTGTCCCCTCTGGAGCAAAGCCAAGTTTATTTGTTTAAAAGTTGTGTATGTGCACACATGCACTTAATTTTTTGTAGACTGTATCACTTTGAGTATAGGTATGCAAGAGAACCAAATGCTAATGTAGCTTGTCAGTTTTGCTTGGCCTAGTGTCATGCTCTTCTCCAAGTAGCTTCATAAGATTGCACTGCCATAGGTGGTTGATGAGATACACCTTCATCTTTTCTTTGGGAATACCTTCTTCAGAGAAAATTAATATGAAAATGCAGCCTGTATGTGTTGGTTTCAATCTGATAACGTCCAACTTCCTGACAGATAGCACTGAGAAGATGATTACTTTTGCTTCTTAAGCACATGCCTAGGAAAATAAAAGTCCCATACAGGATTATAATCACAGGAGGCAGTTGGGAAAGCAAGTTGGAAGAGTAAGCGAGATGAGGTGGGAGAGGAGACGCTCGCTCACCTTTTTTCCATTATAACTTTCAGGTTACTTAAGGCAATACTGTCTTGTGTATGCTGCCTCATTAAACACCCATTTGCTAACCAGTATGTAACTGCCAGCTTTTTTGAATTGGCACATTCCTGACAGAGCACAGTGTTGCTGTGACTTCCTTGGAGCTTGGTTACATGAATTGCTGGTGCTCTACCAGCTCACTCCTGGAGTATTTTGGAGTTTT